GTCAACAAAAAGCCTACATAGAGTCTAACATGGACATTAGACCTGGACACAGCAAAATGAAACATTAAAATAATATAGTGATGAAGCGTTAGATATGTCATGTACATGCCAAGAAAAAAAGGGTTTTGATGAATAATGACAGGACAAGGGCACATGGATGACATGTTAGTTTTGAGACCCCCCCCCCCAAGGACAGAGACTCTCAAAGTGCTTTTGACACATGGTTTATAAGTCACATTACTTGTGAAGTATTGCATGACCCCAAATTCCTATCTAATTAAGCAATAAAATTACCTGGTAAGTGAGCCAGGTAATTCCATCCAGGCCTGCTACTCATGCAGAGGTTTAAAAAATTAGGTCTCTTTAAATATTAGATAAAATGAGAGTAACAGGAAGACAACTGAAGAAACATCCTATGCAGGACACAAGCTGGCAACTTCTCTGCTGTGTGGCACACAGTGGGCATTCAAAATCTGCTGAATGAATGAATGCACGCAAAAAATATGAGGATAAAAATGTACCCAACAAATACACTTTGGGAAAACAATGAGAAGAAATTCCAACAGGCGTGCAGGAGATTTATTATTAAACTAACACAATCACTTGAAAAGTACTTAATGAGAATTTAGTTCCCTTTGTAAAATAAACACCTCTGGTTAATACAAAACCATCTTGTAAGCCAGCAGAGTAACTAGACTAGGGTCTGTTGGTATGCTGTTGGGACAACAGAAAAAAAACCAGTTTCTAAAAGCTGTAGGCAATAGCAGTCAACAGATGAGATAACCCATCCTGCCCTGATGGTCAAGCAAATACTGACGTCAATGTTTTGTGGAGAATGAAGACGCAGGCTGTGGCTGTGGGAAAGATAACACCTGTCCCACAGAGGAGGGGAAGGCAGAGAAAATACATTCCAGACTACTCCGACTCATCCAACACCTGTGATCTGGAAGTCCGAGGGGAAAGGATGAAGAGTGGAAGGAGTAGTAGGTAAGTAGTGATTGTTAGTTGACCTCAGCCATGGGCATGATGTGAAACAAGTCTATTCATCTTCTTTCAATAAAAATCCCATCTTCTCTGCTCAGATCTAAATAGATATTAACAAATCTACAGCTTATCTTTTAATCCTCTTCACCATCAATTATTTCAAGACAACATATTTTTTAAAAAAATGGGAGTGCGGAGGGGGACAGAAAGAAAGAGAAGTCCCCAGATTAAGGAACGTGACATCTCCCTTCCATCCAGCCTCTTTCAGCAGACATAGTTCTGGAGCAGACATTAGATGGACCAAAAGAGTCTCAGGTTAGAGAACGATAATTTTTGGATTGAAAACTCAAGGCAATTACAATTCCTTCTCCCACCCCACCCCCCAAAATGGAATAAAGACAAACAAATTATTGCCAACTCAAGTCATCTTAACCTCAAGGTGACAATCAGGAGTGGTAATTCTACTGAAAATATAATTTTTTCATTTTCTTTAAGGAAGAAATATATCTTTAATTCAGTAATTTCCTTCCTACATGGAAATGTATATGGTGTTAAAGGGTAGTCATTTAACCGGGAAGAAATAAAATTTGGGTCAGATTTGCTTAGAGTAGCTCTGTGACTTTTCTCAAAATTTTGAGTTAAGTGAAAATTGCTCTGGACTCTGTATTGGAAATTATATAACTGAGCAACTGGAAATTCTAAGTCTATTAATAAATGTGTACTCAATCTTTAAGGTAAGAAAAAATTAGCAACAAAAAAAAAGCAGTAAAAAATAACAGGTTCAGAATGTTGTGAAAAGGAAGGAAGGAGGAGGACCCCAGCTCCAAGAGATGAGTGGATATGTGGTTACTGTTGCAAAGATTTCACTTGGATGTTTGTACTCTGCCAGGGAGGTAAGTCGATTATGTAACAACAACCTAACTAGGTGTTATTAGAACCTCAGCCTCTGATAGTCTATGACAGTGTATTGGTCCTCAGGCTCTGAAATGCCAGGGCCAGATGTGCTGGTGGCAGAGCTGGGGGCCCTGGGCAGCAGCAGGACAACACACTTCGGCCGTGAACAACTGCCTGCTATGGTCCCAGCACAGTGTGAAGACCCGTATGAAGGCTTTGTGAGCAAACATATGGACAGTTTTTTTTAATGATGGGTCATTTCTCAATAAAAGGAGCCTATTAAAAAGAAGAAGGAAAAGAACCGAGAAAAAGAAAACAACAGGGAAGAATTAGATGAACCGGTTCTGAGTGCTTCTCACCGCGTGAGGGGAGCAACAGCTCTCAAGAACTTCTTCCTTGGCTGTAGCTCTTTACAATGCTCGAGAAAAAGAAAACAACAGGGAAGAATTAGATGAACCAGTTCTGAGTGCTTCTCACCGTGTGACTCGGGGAGCAACAGCTCTCAAGAACTTCTTCCTTGGCTATAGCTCTTTACAATGCAGCACCTGGGCCCTAGCCCAGACCTGCTGAATCACAACTGCCGCGGGGGATGCCCGGCAACCCCCAGGAACCGTATGCACATGGAAATGCCAAAACATCTCTACTCAAGGGACATTAAACCAGGAATCTGCGCTTGGTATGCTAACCTCCCCGTCAATCGGGAGCCAGCACTGGACCAGAACGAGGTCAAAGCTGTAGTTAAGAAAAAATGTTTTCAGAATCACATGTTTTCACCATGAGGTTAACTTGTAACAGTGAAAAGAAAATAAACATTTAGTCCTCTGCAAAAACAGACTACCATACTGAAATATCCATTGTAATCAAATTCAGACATTTCAATGTAAAACAAAATGAGGTCCGTAGATTTAAAATATTTCTAATGTTGTTATTCAAAATAAGACTTGTGTGTTTTCACGCTTATGTCTCGGTCTACGTTATGACAGTAGAAAACAAGTCCTGGCCATTGTGCATAAATGAGGGTTTGAAGTCTCTCTGAATCTACAAACTTCTTTAAAATATCTCACCTGTGAAAAGGTGACGTTTTTCTCTGGACACCGCCTGTTACAGGAGGACGCAATCTCCGCAAAGACCCTCTGCCCAGTCGCACCTGGACTCACAAGGCCCTTCATGCCAACCTGAGGATGGAGCCTGGTGGGCAGCCCCTCGCTCCGACCCTGGTGATTCACCAGCTTCACAAGCCTCGCTCCTCGGACCTGAACTCTGTGTCTCCATCTTTGTTAAAATGATCATTTACAGCAACTCCAACCAAGGACCCAAAATACTGAATAGTAACAGTTCTCTAATAAATTACAAGTCCTATGTAACTTTTAAAACATGGACACGTTACATGGTGCAGTCAATGCAAATCAAATTTGGGAAATCACATGTTGATGAATTAATAATATATTTGATGTGCGTGAAAGGAGGAAGCAGCAAGGAAATCTTTTACAAAAGATCATTTCTGTAATTTGAACAATTATCTTCAATTTACCCATTTTGTAATTTCTGATTTTTAACATCTTCATTCCTTACACTAATGTCATTGAAATAAAGCAGAGGGGCGGGGGGGGGGGGGGGAAAAAAATTGAATTGGG